ATAGGAAAAGGTATCAGAGGTGCATACATGATAAAGATTCTTCATCAGTCTTGTACTCAAAGCTCACCAGAGAATGAAGGTGGTTTCTGTAGAGTTCCCGGGAAGCAGGATGAGGCACTCACAAGCCGACCATAACCCTCACTGTTCCTCCTGGTTGTATGAAATGGATCAAGTCTACACCAGCTTCTTTTCAAACATAAGTGGTTGATTTGGAAGATAAGAGCTAGTCAAAATACTTGAGAGTTAAGTGGAAGTCTTTTGTAAAAGTAATATTTTGTTAGAGTTTGAAGAGATATAGGATTTAATCCTTAAAAACATTAAAATTGGGTAATAGCTACAAAAGACGAAGTAATAATTTTCATTACCCTGATGTTTGGAGCTTGTTTTAACTAAAACATTTTGTTCAAAGCATCTGTGCTATTTATGTGACTAAGAAGAAATCACTGGAAAACAAAAAGATATGGAATTGCTAAATAGATCCAAGCAGCAACTGCAACTCTTAATAGGTAATGTTTTGACAGATAACTTTAATCTTTTTGAAGGTTCTGTGGCACAAAGAAAATACAGAAAATCAGTGTTTGCACGCTGATTTATGTCGTTAGTGGCTTCAAGATAGAAAAGGATATATTCTCTATAGAGAATATATATAGAGAGAGAATATATATATACTACTCTATAGTAGCCTTAAGAGTAGTCATTCTAAAGTCTTTTAGATTCTAATTTAAATGGAAAAACCTCTTATTTGGAGGACTACCTCTGTAGATCTAAATTAAATATAAGAGAATATTTTTGAGATATTTTAATGAACCACAGAAAAAATATTTTTCCTGAAATGAACACAGTATGAACATCCCAGAATTTCATATTGTCATTCAAGAACTCTGTTACTATGTATCACTTCAATTTAGTTCACCAGTGTCTATAAGCAGTACTGAAATTTTTAAGAGACAATGCTAATATTATGCCCTAATCAAATAGCAAACAGGGCTCAACTGAAATGATCTCATTCTGCTTTTGGAGAGAGGCAGAGTATCTATTGCATATGGATGGACTCAGAGTCCAAGAGCCAAGCTGGTTCATGGCACAAGCAACAAGAAATAAAAATCTGGGGTTTCTGGAGATCTTTCTCTAGTCCTTTCCAGATGTTGATTCTTCTGGGGATAAATGTCTATGATTCTGCCTGTAACTGTGCATGAATTATTAAATCCTGTAAGAAGCTTTGCACAGACAAAGCTCTTTTCACTGACTTTAAAAACTGAATTTGAGAATATCAACATAATAAAAATAAAAAACAAATACTTTTCAAGTTTCTGACAAGAAGAATATATTTAATGTAATGACCTTAGGTAGGTCTAGAAGTTTTAGACATTTAAGTATCAAATGTAGGACTTTCAGCAAAATAATGTATTTCATGATGCCATCAATGATTTAACTGATCTTTTAAAAAATAATAATAACAGAAGGAGCATAAGTAAAACAAGATATCTGGCAATGGAAAGAATAAGTGCCCTTTCAAAAACAGCATGACTTAACTCATCTGTGTGACAATATGTGGTTTAGAAAAAGACAAAATCTTTCTAGACTGAGTGATAGAAAAAAACAATAAAACAGTCATTTTTTTCTAATAATTCAACACAGATAAACTTTAGTAGACATTTGTATTGGTGCATCGTTGTTTATTATTTTTCAATGATTCTTACTTCCTTTAAAAAGTTTCATAATGCAAGTTTTTGGAGCAGAGGAAATGTTTCTTCAAGCTAATTTTAATATAAACAAGTTCTGTGATTTTAGAACTTTGATAGCGTATTTGATGGAAGATTTTAAAAGCCATGCTCTCTGAACTTAGAGGGAAAGTCTGGATAACCTTTAAGCATGAGTCTCTTGTCTGTAGAGTTGATAGCTATAAGCTAATGAGACAGCACATAAGTCACCAGGAAAATCAATGTCATTACTTTATCTTTTATAGGCATTAATCTCCAGTGAGGACAATCTTTCATAACAAAAGTCTTCTGTATAACCAGGAAATAACTCACTGTCAGAATAAAAGGTCTCGGACAAGCTGGGCCATTTCTCTATCCAGCCCTTAATCATCCTGAGAAGGTCTTTGCGTCACAAAGTTTAGTCTTAAAAAATTAGATGGAATATTGACAACTTTTCAGAATTGAGTCTCAGCCTTCTCCAGAAACTGAGAAATTATTGGTTTCTCTTAAAACTGTTTACATCTAGTTTTCATAATCTAATCTTAGAATTTAAGTATCTCCATTTTTGAAATATGTATTTATTCAGCAAGCATTTTATGAAGCTAAAAACTCCAGCTTTCTGGTGTTCCTGGAAGAATCAGAAGCTTGGGTTATAGGGGGTGTGGATTTCAGCAGGACAGCAGGTGGTTACTGTCCCCTGGGGCCACTGTCCTGCATGGATCTCACTCTGCTTTGGAGAGAACTTCGGGTCTATTGGTACTTGAGACTGACTCCTCTCATGTCAGATTTACTTCTCCAGGTTCCTGTCACAGGGGTACAAACAAAAGGGACATGTGTTTGACTCTTTCTGTTTCTCATCTTGAGACCTAGATTTTGTCTGCTGCTTGTTTCGAGTTTTATGTTCCACTGTCATTGATACTCAGATACCTAATTTGACTTCCAAGCGCTGAGACAGTTTGAAACATCAGTGATTACCATTACCTGTTGAGCCCTACTCCAGCTGTCACTCTCAGCTGGCCACTGTGCCCCAGCCAGTGGTAGTTTCTTGTTCCGGTTATGGGGCAGTGGTGAAAGCACCACCCTGACACTGTTTCATCCAAGCCCCAGACCAAGTGAAACAGTAACAATAGAGAAGTTGCTTCTTTTGCCCTTCTGCACAAGAGACACTATGGCTAAATAATCTGCAGGGCCTTTTGCATGGCAGGAGTAAGGATGGCAGTTCTATCTAAGTGAGTTCAGCAGCTTAGCATCTTCCTTTCCTGGTGGCTTTGGGACTGTGCATCTGACTGGAGTTGTCAGGTGTCTGCATGAGCTCTGAAACCCTATGTGCCTGGGACCCTTCTTCCTAATTCTGATCCCCTTTGTGGCAACTTAAAACATCCTTTTGCTTTGTGCTGAAATAGATACACTGTTATGCACTGTCTTTCTGGGCATCTTGAATTATAGCTATTTGCATTTCTTAAATAGATAAACAGTTTTCGTAAAGGCACGATAATTAAAGACTGACATTTTATAGAAAAAAAAGTATTTCAGGAAACTTTTTTGGCCACTGCATGTAAATTATCAAATGTGTACTGGTTTCCCTCCCATGTATACACCTGCAGAACTCCATCTGGATTATGTAGAGATTCTAAGGGTAAATGATCATGTGAATTTAAAGATGTATAATTCCTCCATGGAAAGCATTCAGAATGCAAATTTGACAGAAAGACTTAGCAAAACTCACACATTCGTTTTTTAATTTTATTTATTTTCATGAAAAGGAAGAAGCAAAATTTAGGTGGAAATAGATGAAAACAACCCATGTATTCCTTCGGGTTTCCAGCTCTACTTTTTTAAATGATCAAAATCTGCATCGTGATATGGGAGGAGCAATTTGTTAGTGTAGAACTCTCTTCAGAGATGGCCTTAAATTATTGCTCCACATGAAAGCAATATACAGCTCTTGGTACCACAGAGGCTAAATCTTCATTTCCGTCATCCCTTTCTTCAAGTCTCAGAGGTTAGTTTGATGAAATCATTATGATGATTCATTGCGGAGTTTGTGCTACACACGGAGCAGCTCAGGAACCTCACCCTGGCCCCAGGTGGGACACAGAACCCAGCTCTGTGAGCAGGAAGGGCATGGGAATTCCCAAGAAGCTTGAGATCTGGGCGTTTTAGAGGAAGTGGGCCTGGAGGCAGAGGCTGGAGTGAGCACAGACAGTAAGTGAGGGTGGCCCTCTTGGAAGGCCCCAGGTGTGACAAAGAGGAGGTATGGAGACAGGAAAAGCTTACAAGACGTCACTGGAGAATCTAGAAGCTGACTGGATGTGTGAGTCAGATGATGACAGCCTGGAGCTCTTTGAAATAAAGATTCTCCTTGTGTTACTGAAAGTGTAGTCTAGCTGCTTGCTGCTTGAAAGCTAATACTCAAGAGGCAACACTGGTGAAAAGTAAAGTCATTTCAGAGAGTGGCAACCAGGATAGAAGGTGGGCTTATGTCCAAAGGCTGATTCCATGCCGCCGACCACACACACAGACACACACACACGATACTCAGCAGGCAAGAGCTTTTGCAGATGGAGGGAGGGGGCTACCCGCACAAAGAGCACAGTCAGCTCTGATGGTCATCTTGAAACTGGTCATCAGTGGTCTGATCACTGTCTTCCTGACTGCTTTAAGCACAGTTAGTCTTCAGTTCCAGGGTCGATTTGTTAACATTTCTTTGAGACCAGTTCTAGGAATTGTGGCACATATGACATGGTGACAGTCTGGGCATCGTGTAGTTAACTTCTTCCAGCTGGTGGGGGTTTCAGTATCTACAAGACAACTCTCAGGATATAGCTCAGAAAATTGTCTGCAGCCCTTGAGGAGAAACGGAACGTCCTTGACCTTGTTTCGTGACTAATCTATTATTATTTTGTTCTGTTTGAGTGCTTTCTTTGGATCTGTATTTTCTCACTTCTCTGATTAAGCTTATTATTTGACTAGAATTTTTCTACAGACAAAAGGCAGGTGGAGAAGATGGGGCGGGGGTGGGGGGAGGGGAGGTGGGGGAGGACCATACTGTCCTACTGGGCTTCAGTCATAAGTATATCAATAGACAGGAACAAATACAGTGGTCAAACTCCAAGAAACAAACCAGTGGTTAATGGATAAACCCAATCAACACCCACATGTGTTTTTAAATTCAGTCTTCTTTTCCTTTCTACACTTCGAGGGACATCTAACAACCCATTCTGCCTCCTCAGTGTGTGAACGCCAGTACGGATGCCACAGTGACTTCCGTCTACTCACCCCTCCCCTCCTCACTCACAGGTTTTGACCTGGTGAAGTGTGAGGACCCAGGGACGCCTCACTACGGCTACAGGATCCGGGATGAAGGCCACTTCACCGACACGGTCGTCCTGTACAGCTGTAACCCAGGCTACGCCATGCACGGCGGGGCTACTCTGACCTGCCTGAGCGGGGACCGGAGAGTGTGGGACCGGCCATTGCCTTCCTGTGTAGGTGAGTCGTCTGCACATGCGCGCTGGGAGCAGGAAGCCCTGGGCGCTCCGACTTGATTCTCCCAGAGGGGGAAGACTTCTATTGCTCTTTCTCCAGTGTGGGTTTAATCCTGACATTTGCGAGAGGCTTTCCTGGTGGCTCAGTGACAAAGAATCCATCTCCCTGCCCATGTCGGAGACCCAGGTTCAGTCCCTGGCTCGGGAAGATGCCCTGGAAAAGGAAATGGCAATCCACTCCAGTATTCTTGCCTGGAGAATCCCATGGACAGAGGAACCTGGTGGGCTACAGTCCATGGGTCACAAAAAGTGGGTCACAACTGAACCTGAGTGACCAAACAGCAGCAACAATATTGAGTGTGTGTGTGCATGTGTGTATGTAGGCAGGAAAAACAGATCCCCTAGTACTATTTTACTGAGAATGTAGAAGAAGTAATACTTCTGTGTATAGAAGGAGTATTATTAGATACTGTATATAGAAGAAGTAGTATTAGCATATATAGAAGCATATATAGAATTATATAGAGAGGTATTATTGCTTCTTCTATATACTGAATTCTTATTAGATACTTCTTCTGTACACAGAAATATCACTAGATTTATAACATGGCGTTTCACTGTTTCACTCTCTTGACTTTGCAGAGGATACTGGTTTTTCATCAAGATAATGCTGGGGAACAAGTAAATTTAGAAAAGCAGTGACAGGGACAGCCAGATGCTGGGATTGTTTTCCTGTGTATGGAACATGAGTGTGATGGTTTGGGCTTTTCAAGGTGGTTAAAGTGAAGCCTGTAAGGCCTGGAGTAAACGTGCCCATTTTTTGAATCCCTTGCAGCGGAATGTGGTGGGCGGATCCACGCTGCCACTTCAGGACGCATCCTGTCTCCAGGATACCCTGCTCCCTACGACAACAACCTCCACTGCACCTGGGTGGTAGAGGCGGACCCGGGGAAGACCATCAGGTACTCATTTTATTGGGTTTCAGTGATTTGAGAATAGAAGCATGTCTCCTATTCTTGTAGTGAAGATAGTAGTACCTCTCTTATTTTTTTTTTTTTAAGTCTTTTAGTCTTCATCTAATTTTTTTTTCCATTTATTTTTATTAGTTGGAGGCTAATTACTTTACATCATTACAGTAGTTTTTGTCATACATTGAAATGAATTAGCCATGGATTTACATGTATTCCCCATCCTGGTCCCCCCTCCCACCTCCCTCTCCACCCGATCCCTCTGGGTCTTCCCAGTGCACCAGTCCTGAGCACTTGTCTCATGCACCCAACCTGGGCTGGTGATCTGTTTCACCCTAGATAATATACATGTTTCAATGCTGTTCTCTTGAAACATCCCACCCTCGCCTTCTCCCAGAGTCCACAAGTCTGTTCTATACATCTGAGTCTCTTTTTCTGTTTTGCATATAGGGTTATCGTTACCATCTTTCTAAATTCCATATATATGTGTTAGTATACTGTAATGGTCTTTATCTTTCTGGCTTACTTCACTCTGTATAATGGGCTCCAGTTTCATCCACTTCATTAGGACTGATTCAAATGAATTCTTTTTAATGGCTGAGTAATATTCCATGATGAGTACCTCTCTTATTATCCACGATTAGATTTAAGTTTCTGAGTCAAAGGACAAAATGTAAGCACATGGCCAAACTTTTCATTGGTTTGCATGCTCACTTTGGTATTCCTTTGAAGATGTGTGTTAAGTCATCTGTAGTAAAGATAAAAAGAAATTAAGTACATCAGCTAGCTTTGGCTGCATAACAAGCAGGCCCCCAAAACTTAGTTGCTAAAAACAATGACTTATGTGCTCATGACTTTCTGAGTTGCTGGGTCTGGTTGCTTGGGGTAGGTGGCCTAGGAAGGTCTCATGCAGGTGTGGGAGCCTCAGCTGGATAATTAAAGGTGGGGGTCTCTCTGCATCAGGTTCTGTTCCCTTAGGAAACTAGTGATGATGAAATTTTCCTATGTCTTGAAAGCAAGACATGGAGGCTTTTCAAACTTCTGTTTGCACCACATTTGCTAATGTTCCATCTGCCAAAACATGTCTCGGGGGAAAGAAAATGTTTGAAGAAATATATTCCACTCTTAATGGGAAAAGAATAGTCCTAAATGATGCTAATTTTAAATTAACAAGTAAACCAATTAAAAGTAATTTTTGAAAGCAAATCCTCCGTGTGTCAAAAGGGTGTGTCAAAACCACAGTACAGTATATAAAGCAAGAGGACATTTCAGTTAAAACTAAGTCGTTCTTTAACTGAAGAACATGTTGAGAACATGCATTCTGTGGTCATGGCCCTTAAAGTCCCCTTTCTTCTCCCACCACCTCTCCTCTTTCATTCTTTTGAAATCTCTCTACAATGTTAATAAAAAAAAAACTCCGTTCAGACTTCCCTGGTGGCTCAGTGGTAAAGAATTCACCTGCCAATGAAAGAGTCACGGGTTTGACCCCTGATCTCGGAAGATCCCACCTGCCTCAGAGCTCCTAGGCCCGTGAGCCACAGCTACTGAGCCTGCACTCTAGAGCCCCTGCTGAGTAATGAGAGACGCCACCACAGTGAGAAGCCTGTGCACCACAGTTAGAGAGTAGCCCCGCTCTGTGCAGCCAGAGAGAAACCTCCCACAGCAACGAAGACCCTGCAGCGGCCAAAAATAAACAATTATTAAAAAGGAAAAAAAAAAATCCCCAAGACAGTCTGTTTCTCTCTGATGGCCTCCATCCTCCCTGAAATTCACCAGACTTTCTTGACATTTGGTCACATCAACATCTTGGGAGTGAGTTAAACTCACATAGAACAAACTATTCCCACTTTCAAACCATCCAAAATAAATATCCTAATCATGTATGTGGAACAGGAGAAGGAGTTTAGATAATGTAAATGTTGCAGAGGTAACTCATTTAAATAATTCATTTAAAAATTTAAGTGTCCATAATTAAGAAAAATGATTAATTAGATAATTGTGTGGAAAAGGCAGCGGCACCCCACTGCAGTACTCTTGCCTGGAAAATCCGATGAACAGAGGAGCCTGGTAGGCTGTGGTTCATGGGGTCGCCCAGAGTTGGACATGACTGAGCGACTTCACTTTCATGCATGGGAGAAGGAAATGGCAACCCACTCCAGTGTGCTTGCCTGGGGAATCCCAGAAGCGGGGGAGCCTGGTGGGCTCCCGGCTATGGGGTCATACAGAGTCAGACACGACTGAAGTGACTTAGCAGCAGCAGTAGCCATCTATTGAGGCATAAATAGGGCATGTTTGATTAAAAGAATTTGAGTCTGTATTCTTCATAAAGCGCTCCGCAGATGGCTCAGTGTTAAACAATCTATCTGCCCTCCAATGTAGGTGACTCAGGTTCAGTCCCTGGGTTGGTAAGATCCCCTAGAGGAGGAAATTTCAATATTTATGCCTGGGAAATTCCATGGACAGAGGAGCTGGCAGGCTACAGTCCATGGGGCTGCAAAGAGTTGGACACGACTCAGTGACTCAACAACAACATTCTTCATAAAAATCAGTAGTCACTTACAAGTGAACTATATAGAGTTAAATATTACTTCTTAACTTTAAATTCCTGAATGCTTGATCTAAATGATATAAAAGCTGTTACACTGAATTTGATTGTGAAAAACCCTAGAACCATCTGTGAGTCATGAAATGACTTTACATAAACAGGATATCTTTCCTCTTAGGCAGATTTCAAAATTTTCTCCTTATTTTTATTTATTTATTTTAATTTTAATTGGAGGCTAATTACTTTACAATATTGTGGTGATTTTTGCCATACATTCACATGAATCAGCCATGGGTGTATATGTGTCCCCATCCTGACCTTCCCTCCCACCTCCCTCCCTATCCCATCCCTCAGGGCCATCCCCGTGCACCAGCCCTGAGCACCCTGCCTCATGCATCAAACATGGACTGGTGATCTATTTTGCCTATGATAATATACATGATTCAATGCTATTCTCTCAAATCATCCCACCCTCACCTTCTCCCACAGAGCCCAACAGTCTGTTCTTTATATCTGTGTCTCTTTTGCTGTCTTGCATATAGGGTCATCGTTACCATCTTTTAAATTCCATATGTCTGCATTAATATACTGTATTGGTGTTTTTCTTTCTGACTTAATTTGCTCTATATAATAGACTCCAGTTTCATCCACCTCATTAGAACTGATTCAAGTGCACTCTTTTTAATAGCTGAGTAATATTCCATTGTGTATATGTACCACCACTTTCTTATCCGTTCATCTGCCAGTGGACTTCTAGGTTTCTTCCCTGTCCTGGCTATCATAAACAGTGCTGCGATGAACATTGGGGTACACATCAATTCTGATTTCCTCAGTGTGTATGCCCAGCAGTGGGATTGCTGAGTCAAAGGGCAGTTCTATTTCCAGTTTTTTAAAGAATTTTCACACTGTTCTCCATAGTGGCTGTACTAGTTTGCATTCCCACCAACAGCGTAGGAGGGTTCCTTTTTCTCCACACCCTCTCCAGCACTTATTGTTTGTAGGCTTTTTAATAGCAGCCATTCTGACCAGCTTGAAATGGTACATCATTGTGGTTTTGATTTGCATTTCTCTGATAATGAGTGATGTTGAGCATCTTTCCATGTGTTTATTAGCCATCTGTATGTCTTCTTTGGAGAAATGTCTGTTTAGCCCTTTGGCTCATTTTTTTTTTTTTTTACTGGGTCACTTATTTTTCTGGAATTGAGCTGCAGGAGTTGCTTGTATATTTTTAGGATTAATTCTTTGTCAGTTGCTTCATTTGATATTATTTTCTCCCATTCTGAAGGCTGTCTTTTCATCTTGCTTATAGTTTTCTTCATTGTGCAAATGCTTTTAAGTTTAATTAGGTCCCATTTGTTTATTTTTGCTTATATTTCCATTACTCTGGGAGGTGGGTCATAGAGAATCCTGCTATAATTTATGTCAGAGAGTGTTTTGCCTATGTTTTCCTCTAGGAGTTTTATAGTTTCTGGTCTTACATTTAGATCTTTAATCCATTTTGAGTTTATTTTTCTGTATGGTGTTAGAAAGTGTTCTAGTCTTATTCTTTTACAAGTGGTTGACCAGTTTTCCCAGCACCACTTGTCAAAGAGATTGTCTTTTCTCCATTGTATATTCTTGCCTCCTTTGTCAAACATAAGGTGTCCATAGGTATGTGGATTTATCTCTGGGCTTTCTGTTTTGTTCCATTGATCTATGTTTCTGTCTTTGTGCCAGTACCATACTGTCTTGATGACTATTGCTTTGTAGTATATTGATTGATTAATTCCTCTAGTTGATTCCTCCAATTCCATTCTTCTTTCTCAAGATGGCTTTGGCTATTTGAGTTTTTTTGTAATTCCATATAAAATTGTTAAATTATTTGTTGTAATTCTCTGAAAAATATCGTTGGTAGCTTAATAGGGATTGCATTGAATCAACAGATTACTTTGGGTAGTATACTCATTTTCACAATATTGATTCTTCTGATCCATGAACACGGTATATTTCTCCATCTATTTGTGTCATCTTTGGTTTCTTTCATCAGTGTTTTATAGTTTTGTATATATAGGTCTTTCGTTTCTTTAGGTAGATTTATTCCTGAGTATTTATTCTTTTCATTGCAATGGTGAATGGAATTATTTCCTTAATTTCTCTTTCTGTTTTCTCTTTGTTAGTGTATGGGAATGCAAGGGATTTCTGTGTGTTAATTTTATATCCTGCAATTTTGCTGTATTCATTGATTAACTCTAGTAATTTTCTGGTGGAGTCTTTCGGGTTTTGTATGTAGAGGATCACGTCATCTGCAAACAGTAAGAGTTTTACTTCTTCTTTTCTAATCTGGATTCCTTTTATTTCTTTTTCTGCTCTGATTGCTGTGGCCAACACTTCCAAAACTATGTTGAATAGTAGTGGTGAGAGTGAGCATCCTTGTCTTGTTTGTGACTTTAGAGGAAATGCTTTCAATTTT